ATCTCCTCCCCCAATTATAGATACGAACTTATCTTTTATTTTAAAAAAATATTTTATATTTTATATTTATTTTATTTACCATTGTTTTATTATTAATGTTTTTTAAAAAACTTAAAACAGGAGAAGTAGTATCAAAGTCAGCTACAAATGCGACTTAAAATTATTAGTATTGCTATATAGTAAGATGAAAGTAATTAAATGGTCCTTTGACTCCTACAGTATTATCATCCTTTTAATACACAAGATCATATTTAAAGTATTCATTTGATCTAAAATTTTCTGCATTAATTTTAATAGAATGAAAATATACATTCATTTATTAGTCTTTCTTCAAATTTTATGTTAATAATTATTATCTTTAAGCCCAAGGAATACTCCTAATATCTTGTTTTGAAGAATCCAATACTTGCAAATTCATTTTCTTAGGTTATTAAGAAGACTGAGCTACTAAGTAGTTAGTATACGTATTAATTATTAATTTATTTTCTTTACATTCATTAGTTGTAAAATAAGTTACTTCATAATGGTAAGTTGGATTCGATATTTGAGGATTGTATTTGTCACCTAAATTTACTTTTACACCTTAAGGTTAACATTTTTCAGCTGTAACATTTACTAAAGAATTCGCTAAATAAAATAAAATAATATGTAATCCAAATAATTAAATCATTTTAATTTTAAATAAAATTATAAAGTCTAATTATATAATATTTTCTAATAAAATTTATAAAAGAAATTAAATTATTTAAATAATATTTTATTTTTATATTAATTAAAGTAATTGTCATATAAATTTTATAAGTAAATATATATTAATCGATACATTTTCATTTAATTTTAATAGTATATTTAAATAAAATTAAATACAAACCAATAAGGAATAAAAACCGAAATATTTATAAATAACAAATATAAGTTTAGGTTGCTTTATTAAAAAAAGTTCTATAAAAATTGATTTAGTTGAAGATTGAAATATTAAAAAAACAGACCCACGTACTTTGATTTTTAATAATCTTTAAAAGGTACAGTCCTTGTTTCTCGTCATTAAAAAAAAAAAAAATATTTTAAAATATAATAGAAAAATTAAAAATATCCTTTCTAATTGATAGAAAATATTGAAATGGCAGGAATTGCAACAATTAGTGATTATAAAAAAGATCAAACTTAAATGGTTAAAAATATTTAAAAAGAAATTATGAATTTAATTTACTAATTGAAAATATCCAAATCGATTATGCAGCTTTGTGTACGATTTTTAATAAAATTTATTTATAAAAAATAATTAAAATAAATAAAAATAACAACTTAAATTATGATTTTTATTTATTGTTAGAAAATTATCCTATGTATTTAATTTGAAAATCTTTAAGATAACTATTTATTAAAAAACTTCACTATATCATATATTTTTCTCATATGGTTAAAGCTCTAACTAAGTACATAAATTTTTATACAGATATATTAAAAAAATTAATTTAGAATAGATAAATATATAATTTCTATTTTATTTATATTTATTATATATATATTCATTATATTTATTTATTTTTAACTTTTATAAAATTAATTTTTCTATTAATATATTGATATATATTTAAATAATAACAAAATAATATATAAATAATTTCATTCTTAATAATTTTTAATTTTTTTTTATAATTTTAATTATTTTTTTAAAAATATAAAAATTATAATAAAATTCATACATATTTCCTTTATCTTCATGATTTCCAGCAATTGAATTAAAGGCTATTTCATTAAAATAAGTTTCAGTTTCTTTCATAAATTTTAGTCCTTTTTCTCCATTAAGGTCATGAAGGTCATAACCGTAATCTCCTCCCCCAATTATAGATACGAACTTATCTTTTTATTTTAAAAAAAATATTTTTATATTTTTATATTTATTTTATTTACCATTGTTTTATTATTAATGTTTTTTTAAAAAACTTAAAACAGGAGAAGTAGTATCAAAGTCAGCTACAAATGCGACTTAAAATTATTAGTATTGCTATATAGTAAGATGAAAGTAATTAAATGGTCCTTTGACTCCTACAGTATTATCATCCTTTTAATACACAAGATCATATTTAAAGTATTCATTTGATCTAAAATTTTCTGCATTAATTTTAATAGAATGAAAATATACATTCATTTATTAGTCTTTCTTCAAATTTTATGTTAATAATTATTATCTTTAAGCCCAAGGAATACTCCTAATATCTTGTTTTGAAGAATCCAATACTTGCAAATTCATTTTCTTAGGTTATTAAGAAGACTGAGCTACTAAGTAGTTAGTATACGTATTAATTATTAATTTATTTTCTTTACATTCATTAGTTGTAAAATAAGTTACTTCATAATGGTAAGTTGGATTCGATATTTGAGGATTGTATTTGTCACCTAAATTTACTTTTACACCTTAAGGTTAACATTTTTCAGCTGTAACATTTACTAAAGAATTCGCTAAATAAAATAAAATAATATGTAATTCAAATATAAAATACAATTTTTTTTATATTTATAATAATGCTATAATTTTTTTTATTATTATTTTAATTTTTTATTATTTTTAAATATAACTACTTAAATTAAAAGGACATAATATAATAAATTATTTATTGATAAAAATAAATTATTATTTAATATAATTTATAAAAGTTATATAAATTTATTATTTATATCTTATTTTTTTTATTTAAAATGCAATATAAATAATTTTTTAAGATTAATTAATAATTAAATATTATTATTATTGTCTATCAACAAAAAATAAAATAAAATAAAATAAAAATAAACAAAAATTAAATGTAAATTCAATAAGAAAAGAAACTTAGCAAAGAAGAAAAGCAAAAATTATATAACGCAAAAAAGAAAAAAATAAAAAAAGAAAAGCGAAAATGCAATAATACTAATAACATCTAAACCTTACCTAATCAATCCATCCAAACACATTTCGAACAAGAAAGCTATGAGTATGATTATTAAAAGCAAGTAGAATATGTAATGGAATCAGATGAAACAGTATTAACAGGAATGTACTACGAATAATTTAAAGACGTATTTAAAAATTTTAATCAAAACTCATTAAAGCAATACGAAATCTAAACAGATGAGAAAACTCAAGAACAACTACAAAAATAGTAAGATGAATTTGAAGAAAAAAAGCTCAAAAGATAATAAGAAAAATTACTAAAAGAACAAAATAAAGAAAAGCTTTCTAGAAAATAAAAGAAATAATAAAGATGGCTATAAGTAGCTTAGTTAAAAGCCATTGTAAAAAGACCTGATTTAGTTGAGGCTTGGGATATTACTGCACCAGACCCACGCACTTTAGTTTTTTTAAAATCTTTAAAAAATACAGTCCCTGTGCCTCGTCATTGGAGTCAAAAAAGAAAGTTTTTATAAAATAAAAGAGGTATTTTAAAATAACCTTTCTAATTGCCAGAAAATATCGAAAGAACAGGTATTGCGAAACTTCGTGACCCTTTTTCAGAAAGAGATGGAACTTAGATGGTTAAATAGAAATTAAGAGAAAGGATGAATCCGAAAATGGGAAAAATAGATATTGATTATGAAGTTTTACATGACGCTTTTTTCAAAAATTAAAATAAATCAAAACTCACTATCCATGGAGATATTTATTACGAAGGAAAAGAGGATGAATTTACTCATAAAAAAGTAATTTTTTTATTTTATTTACTTTCTTTAAAAAAAATATATATATAGTATAAACCAGGAAAATTATCAGATGCATTAAGAGCAGCACTCGAGATTGCAGATTATAGTCATCCGCCTTGGCTTATTAATATGCAAAGATATGGACCTCCACCTTCTTATCCAAATTTGAAAATTATTGGACTCACTTATCATGATTAGGGAGGAGTATCCTTTTTTAATAAACTTTAAATGGATGATTAAAGCAAGTAAATGCAATAACCAGGAGTATACGGAACTTTTAAAACTGATGATGATCAAATGGATGATAATATTGCAATTTATAAGGGTTATTGGGGATAAGTGATTGATGATGAAGATGAAGAATAGGCAGGAGGTATTAATAACTAAAATATTTAAGAACCTGATGAACAGGATTTAGACGAAGAAGACAATGGAGATGAAGATGTTGATTTTGAAGAATAAATATAATAATATGAGAAAATGTAAAACTCTACAGATAATACAGGAATTAATAGTGTTATTTCTGGATTAGAAACTCCTGAAGTAGATTTAAGGAATAATAATGCACCTCTTTATACGGTTTTGGAAAATGTTCCTAATAAAAATGCAGTAGGAGGAATTTTAGGAACTTCACATACTTATATTATGCCAGAAAAAAAAACTAATTGAGTTTTATTACTTATTTTTTTATATTGTTTAATATTTTAGTAAACTGATTTTTTTTTTATAATAAAAAAAAACCAATATTTTTTTTAAAAAAAAATATTTATTTTATAAAAATTATATTATCAGAACATTTTTAAGTTTATAATAAAATATCTAAAAACATGCAATATTAAGTTTCAAATTCAATAAGCAATGTTTATGATACCTTAAATCTTTAATAAGAATTTGAAGATCATATTCCATTTTTGCAAAAATTATTTGTAAAGATATAATAATAATATTTTCTAAAAAAAAAAAAAAAAAAAAGTATGTTCAAGAAAATTTTCCAAAAATAAGAAAAGTAAGAAGGGATGCAAGTTGCTTCTATAGATGATATTTATTTTTAATATGTGAAGAAATAATAAAAAAATAAGATAAAAATTTAAAAAATTAGAATTATCTAAAAAATAGTTAAAAGAATAAAAATATGATGAATGTGTAATTGTTGAATTTTATAATACTATCCATTAACTCATTTAAAAATTATTAAAAAATTCCTTTACTGTTAATAATTTGTAAAATATATATATTGATTTTATATTAATTATTTTATTTTTTAAAGGGTATATTTTTTAATAATAAAGTAAGATCTGATTCTCTTTTCATGTATTTAAGATTTATAACTTCTGCTTATTTAAAAAAAATTAATCACAATTTTAAAATTATGTTCTTGAAAATATTACTATTGATGAATATTGTGCTATTGAAATTGATCCAATAGATAAAGAAGCTGATTAGGTAATATATTTTTATTTCAAAAATCAATTTTTTATAAAGTTAGCAATAATATATTAATATACCTATTCGTATTGTTTATTTGGATTCAAAACCTTAAAAAATGAATCCTGATGTAATTTAGTTACCTGAAGGTTAAAATATTAATCAAAATTCGTTTTTGCCAACATTTTTATATAGACAGGGACATTATGATATTATTTATAATAAATGAAAAAAAAAAATATTATTTCTAAAATTATTTTTATATATATATATATAATTTATATAGTTAACGCGTTTTTTCAAAAAAAATTATAATAATTTTTTATTTTTATAAATTATTTTCACTCTTCAATTATATTTTATTCTTTTAAATAATTTATTTAATCTTAGTTTAATTTTACAAGATTTCCTGCTTCATCTAATATATAGTTTCCATTAAAATCAGTTAAGTAACCCTCTTAATCAAGTTAATAAACAATTTCTTCCTCTTCTTCTTTTATAATAGGTAAATTAGGAGTTATTTACTCTTTTTTTATATTTTTATAAAAAATAAATATATAGATATTTAAATAAATATTAAACTTTTAAATGAATTATTTATTTTTTAAATATCTTCAATTTATTAGACTTCTTAGTTTTATAAAATATCTTTCATTTTATCATTAACCTTATCTGCTTATAAATAACTATCCATATCTTTTTTAGTATTATCTTCTTAGTTTTAATACTTATAATTCTAATTTAAAGGAGATATATCACTAATTATTTATTATTATTAAATGTTGCTTTAATTTATTGAATATTACAAAGATTAATCAGAGGTTCGAGATTATGGTAATTATTATTGATAATATTGTTATTATGGTTATATTTATAAAATAACGTCTTATTCAAATTATTATTAGTCTTATTTTATTGTATATTGTATTTATTATACAGGTTATTAAATATATTAATGTTCTTATTTTATTACATATTACTATTTTTGTTAATCATTCTATAAATTTGTAATTACTTTTTCTTTTTAAATAACCTATTATTATTACTATTATAAATAAGGTTATTATATATTTTATGCTTATTATTAAATGATTAATCCTTATTAAGGTATTTGTTGATGCTATTATTAAATTAAAACTGCTTATTATTGTTATTATTAAACTGAATTTTATTATTATTAAACTAAACTTTGCTATTATTGTTAAAGAATAGTTTACTATTAAATTGTACTCGGTTATTACTATTATGTAATTAAATTAGACTATTATTAAGAAACTAAGTTCTGCTATTAAGAAACTAAATTTTATTATTAAGAAACTAAACTTTATTATTATTAATATTATATAGGTTAATTTTGAATGCTTACAGAAGGAATACCTTATATAACAGGAGCTTAGGGAGTTAAAACATATGGATAAGGTTGTGTTTCATAAAATATTTTTTTAAATTTAAGGTCGATATCAACATTTTATTTAGAAATAGTTTAAATAATATTTGTGTATCTCTCATCTATTGATTTAAGTGTTTTATCTAAATTAACTTTATCTTGATAGACAGTTTTTTTAAGAGCAGAAAATTCATAATTATAAAACTATTCCACTTTTGCATTTAGAGATTGGAAAAGAGAATTCTAATCTTAAGGATGATAATTTATTTTTGCCTCTAATTCGTTTTTTAATTAGCTTATTTTTTCATGAATTTCATCTTAAAGATATTTGTTTTCATTAACAAATAATTTATTTAAATTATCTGCTTCAGATTTTTCTTCTAAAATTTTGATTTTTTCTTACATTTATTTAATAGTTTCTAAATTCACTTTCATTTCTTATCTAATAATATCTTATATTTACTAAAATGAAACGAAACCTTAATGAGCATGTTATTGCTAAATTAGTATTTATTATTATTATTATTATTATTATTATTATTATTATTATTATTATTATTATTAGTTTACGTATATTTTTAGGTTATTCTAATTATTATTTTTAGGCTGCTATTATATTTAGTATTATTGTTATTAATTAAGATACTATATTTATTTTTATTTTTATTAATATAAAATTTGTTATTGTTAATGTTGTTGTTAATTTTATTGTTATTGCAATTATTATTGTTATTATAAAGGATGTAAATTGTTATTTATTATTTGTTGTTATTGTTAAAAATATTTTTTGTTCTGTTATTATTAAATATAATTATTATTCTTATTTTTTGTTATAATTCTATCTGGGCTTTTTTCAATAATTATGGTTGGATTACCTGTTAAGTTTTCTTTATTTTTTTCTATTTGTTATGTTTTTTATACTTCATACTTATTTTAATCAACATTCAAGTTTTGATTAAATATTTACTATTTTTAATTTATTTTTTAAGGCGGAGACAAAATCTAATGCTTATGTAAAAAGTATTAATTTTCTGTATTTTCTGACATTTTTTACTTATATTTAAAATAATAAATTATGTTATTTTAATTTATAATTTTTATATTTTAAAAATCTAAAAATTCTTTTTAAATTTTTTATTTTACAAAATAAAAATATATTTATTTAAAAATATAAATTAATTATATAGAATAAAATGCTAAAATATTCAAATTAAATATTATATTTTTTCTATATTTAATATTTTAAAATTTAATTTTAAAGATATATATATATATTATATTTATATATTATTTCTTATATTTTTTAATCTAAATCATATATTTTTTTTTAATATAAAAATTTTACATATTTTTAATTTATTATATTTCTTTATTTATATTTGTTTTTATTTTTATTATTTAAACTTATTTTTTTTATTTTTGAATATATTTGATTTTTTTTTAATAAAGTATTAAATAATACTAAATTATAAATTTTATTTAATTTAATGATTTATTTTTATTTTCCTAAATTTATTAAAAGAAAATAAAAATATCAAATATTAAAAATTATATATTAAAAAAATTAATTTTTTTTTTTAAAAAATAAAAATAAAAATTCAATAAATAGGCGAAGCTTATTATTCAACAACTTAGATTAAGTTTTTCATAACAAAACTCCATTCATTAAATTTATTTTTCATAACTTCAATTCTTTAATTATCTAAAATTCTTGGGATCATCCAACTTATAGTAACTTATTGCTTAATTTCATTAATCATTCCTTTTACAAGTCCATAAGCCATACATCTAATAAGCAAAAATTCAATTTCTTTAACATCTTATTTTGTTTTTTAAGCAATTTAAGTAAAGCTGATAGTTCTGTCGTTTTTTGGAAGATTAAAAACAAGATCAAGGAAAGCCATAATTCTTATTTTTTATTCAAGAAGTTTTTGATTTTATTTTAATGCAGGCTATTTTTATAATTATATATTATATATTATTATTATATTTTACTATTTAGTTTATATGATCATTATAATTAACCATATCTCTTTAAAATTAACTTACATTTCCTTCATTAAATGTTTAAATTAATTTATATAACCATTCATACTTTGAATTTTATAAAGATTTCACCACTTCTTATTACAAAAGTTCACTAAAGTTATAAATTTTAGGTGATAATAATATGGATATAGTCATATTTAAAGATATTTCTTATTTAAAGAAATCTGGAATGTATTAAGGTTAGGTATAAGCTAAATATTATAAGCCATTTTAGTATATTAGTTCATAACTTTTTTTGAAAGTATAATATTAATAGTGGCTTTTGTATAAAAAGGAAGATAAAATAGGTTCTATATGCGCATTTTGTTCTACTTTTTCCTTTAATTAATTTAAAAGGATATAATTTTATTCAGAGTGTTCTTCAGTAAGTCTATAAGTTAACTTTTTTTTATTTAAAAGTTTTGAAATTAAATAAAGAAAACAAAAATTACTTGTTATAATTAAAGGACTATTTATGCATTTTCGTCTTTTAATGTATTATTCATTTTCTATAAAAAATCATATTTTTCTTAATTAGCTGTTTTTTATAAAACATGAATATAAATAAAATGTTTTTTGTATTATTACTATTAAATGCATCTGCAGCGTAACAAAGATATCTAGCAAGTATTAGTTAGTCCATTTTTTACCAAAATTTACAGATAAAGTTCTCATATAATAAGAGCAAAGCTTTTCTATTTTATAATATTTATTAGTCTTAAATTAATTAATTAAGATTTTAAGTAATTTCATGCCATAATCTTTATTTTTTTATTGTTTAATAAATATATTTACATATTCTTTATTTTTTATATATACTTTTAGTCTTATAGGCAAAATAATTATTCGAACTTATCGCTTAAATGAGGAAAATCTTATGTTAAAGATTATAAAAATTATTATTGATTCATTATTTATTTATTTATATATTTAATTTATTGATATTTATTATTAAATTATTTTTTAACATCAGATTAAATAAATATTTTTAAAAAAAAAAATATAATAATAATTTAAAAATATATATTTAATTTAATAATTAAATATTATTATATAAATATGATATTTATTTATTTTCATTAAATTTATTGAAATAATTCATAATCACAAGTTAAAAAGCGAGGATTGAAGTTTTATATTTATAAACTGTTTTTTTTTGAAATTATTTGAGACTATTATTACTATTATAATGAGTAATCATCTTAATAATTATTAATTCTGCAAACTAAATATATATATATAAATAAATAAATATTAAAAATAAAAAAATAGACCAAATCTTAATAATTGCTTTAATAATTTAAATTTTAACTCTATTTATATTTAAAAAGCATAATTACCAATTTATAGATAAGTTTTTTAATTTAAAACTATAGGAATTTAATTTTAAATAACTTTTTTATTAAACATTTAAATTTTCCCTATATTTATAATTATTTTTTCTAATTAATACTTATAACTGAATGTTAAATACTTAAAAGTTAGTTTTGACTAAAATTTACTATTTCTTAATCTTAAATATAAAGCAATGTTTAATTTATATAATCAAAGTTTAATAAATAAATGAATTCTCCACTTTCAATTACAGCAAAGTTATTGAAAGTACAAAAAATCAAAAATATAATATTATGGAATTACTAACCACATATTTCACATTAAATATCTTATTTTTTATATTTATTACACTAATATTTGTTGTTTATAAATTCGTCTTTTTCTTTATCCAATCCAAAAGACATTAAGAATGAAAATAACCGCATGTCCCTAAGCAATTACAGAAATTTAATAAAGGATTTGTATATGAAGAATTCAGATAACATACTCTACAAATATCATCAGTTGTAAGAGTTTAATATTATTAATAATTACTTTCTTTTTTAAAAATTTATACTTTATCATTATCAACGATCTATTATTTAATATATTATTTATACTATTAAAAAATATTATATATTACATAAATATATTAATTTATAAATATATAAATTATAAGTCAAAACCATATTATAAAAAATTATAAAATAAATTATATATAAATAATTTTATTTTTTTATATATAAGAATATTATTAAAATTTTATATATAAAACAGAATATTATTTAAAATAATTTTTTTTTACAATGTATATAATTCTAAAATAAACGCCTTATTGTAAAAAATCGTCTTTTTGTTCTAGTTGAATTTGGTTATCGAAATAAATGTAAACAGGGTTATTATTTAATTCGATATTATATATTTCTATATTATTTTCTTTTATTTTTTTAATAAAAATAAATATTTTTAAAACACTTTATTAAAAATAAACAAAAGTAATTTCTTATTTTTTTACTTTCAATTTTGATTTCAAATAATGGTAATAAGTCTTTTTATATTTTAGTAGATATGCGTATATTTCTTTCAGATTAACTAATATAAACTATTCCTCCTTTGATAATGGTTGTTGCTTTATTTTTTAAACAATTGTTTTACGGGATTATTTTAATTTTAAAAGACATTTTTATATAAAAATATTAATTTACTACTTTTTTTTTATTTTTATTTTTAAAAAAATTAATTGATAAAATTATGCAATTATTATAAAAACATATATTTTTAATATATATATGATTATATATTAAAAATAAAAAGTATTATTATATAATATTAATTAAAAAAAATATATTTATTTACAATAATTTTTTTGTTTTTATATAAATTCTGAAAAAATTTTGACATAATTTATTACAAAAAAATGTATAAAAAAAACTAATAAAGCTTCTTATCATTTACTGACCTTACCTAACTTTTAAATTAAAATATTAAAAAAGGAACATTATTTCCTTTAAAATATGGCAATTATGTAGCTTCGATTGGATATTAATTATAAAATTAAGTTTAAACACTTGCCGATATATTAAAAAATAGTAAAGGGAGAGATAAAATTTGTTGTTTTACATAATATTTAACTGATTTTTATTATGTTTGCCATAAAAACAGTAATATCGAAACTGTTTAAAAAATATTCAAAGAATAAAGTGGATTAAATGAGGCTTTTTTGGCAAAAAAAGTAAGCGATTCAATGAAAAGTAGTCGTAAAATTTTCAAATTTTTAAAGTTTTTCGGAGAATTAAACGGATTTTAGAAAGTTTTATCAAGTAATAAGCCTTTATTTTTAAAAACAGCATAATTTTTATGCGTAGTTTGCCGAATATTTTATTATATTTTAGATAATATTTTATGGGCTATAAATATAGGAAATATGAGGTATTAATTTATAAAAAAATTAAAAAATAAAAGTATAAATAAAATTTATTTATTTTAAAAAATAAAAATAAGTGAAATTGTATCGAAAGAATATATACATAAAGTAAAATCAATTAAAGATATATTTCTATTAATAAAAAGTGTTTTAAAAATATTTTAAGTTTCATATATATTTCTATTTAAAAGAAAGTATTATATTTTTACAAAAAATTATAAATAATGTATTTATATAAAAATAAGTAAAGAAAAATGTGGACTTTAAGCGATATATGAAATAAAATAAAACACGCCAATAATAGAAGAAAGTGATATTCATATTTAATGTTAAAAATTATTAATCTATAAACATAAAAGAAGAGTATATACAATAAAATTTATTACTACTTGTATTAGAATTCTAATGTTATGTAAAAGATAGAATTTGCCTCCTTTGTATTTTTTATTTATTTTTATTTAAAAAATAAAATAAAAAGTAATAAATTTATGAATAATATTTATTATTCGTTTTTCGGACTACTTTTTTCAGTTATTTCTTTAATTAAAATGTTCAATAAAAAAGAAAAAGTAATTTCTATTAAAAAAGGTGATTAAGAAAATGAATTCGAAGAATATACTAAAAAATAATATTAATAAATATAGCATAAAATTTTACCAAGATGTTATTCTACGCTTTCTGATTTATTAAGTATGAATAGTAATGAATAATCTGAAGATGAAGAATATTTAGATTTAAAATAATAGCAAACTATAAGGTAAATATATATATATATATATATATATATATATATATATATATATATAATAGAAAACTACAAAGAACAATATCTTAAAAAAATAGTGACAGTGATTTAGACTGAATTTTAATAATTTTTTTTTTTTTTTTTTTTTAATAAATGAATATTAAATATAAATATTAATTAAATTATAGCATTTATAAATTTACTATATTAGTTTTTTTTTTAAAAAAAAATTAAATAAATTGATACATGAATAAACTTAATTATGTCATCAAATAATCTATTTTTTTCATTCTTTTGAAATATATAAATTTATAGAATAACAATAATAATAAAATATTTAGCTTGAATTAAAATGTTTAGATAATTAACCAGAAAACAAATATTTATAAGAAAATAATTATTAAAATTATTTGAAGACGTAAAATATAATAAAATGACTAATAAGAAATAATTAATAGATATTCAAGATTAAAGTCATTTACAAAGTTTTAAATTACTATTCTCAATCAAATAAATTGCTTTAAAATATCATATAAACTATGATAAAAAAATAACTTAATAATACATTATACAAGTAACAAAGGTTAATAATATTTTTTATAATACCCTAATAAATAAAAAAAGGTCAAATTTATCGCCCAAGAACATATTTTAAGTATACAGCATTGCATTTATCTATTATAAATGTTCATTTAAAATACACGCATTTTAATTTTGGAAAATTTAAAAAAATAAATAAATAAATAATAATAAAGTATTGCATTACGAATGTAAATTTATTTAAAAAAATTATTTAATTATAAAAAGAATTTTAAAGCTAATTTTAATTTTAGAAATAATATTGTGAAAATATAGCATTTTATGAAATAATCTTGCGATTAAGAAATTTTAATTTTTTTTTAGCTTTAGAAGAATTACATAAAAAATCTATTTATATAGATATTTAAAAATATCGAAATTAGTTTCGGATAAATACCGTAATGTAAAAATCATAGATATTGGTTGTAGCTTAAATAGGAATCAATATAAATGCATATTTTTGCGAAAGTTTTATATATTTTCCATACAAAATGAGAATAAGTAATGATATGGATTAAGTTATGGATTGAAATTTTTTTAAACTTTAAATGTTTGAGTTATTGTATGAGAAAAACATTTTAGCTAGGTTAATAATATTAACATTTTTTTTATCTTTAAGTAATTGATTTATGTATATTATAAATTAAAAATCATACGTATTTTTAAAATATTACTTGGGATGTATTTATAATAAACACTAGTACTGTCAGACTTTAAAAAATTTAACAGTTTGGGAATAAAATTATGGCTTTAGTTATATAAAATGAAAAGAAAACAGTAATTAGGGTTAAACATTTTTGTTTATTATTGGGGCTCATAATATAATTTATGTATAATATAACTAAATGTGAAATATTTTTATACTTTTTTTTTTAATATGTTTATAACTACTTTATTTTTTTAATTAATTTGATTATTCAATACTCAATATATTTAGAAAAAAGCAAATAAATATTGTTTAAAATAAAAGAAAAAAAATAATATCAAAAGAAAGTATTTTTTTAATTAATTAAATAAGTTAAAAAAGTAAAAAATTAATTCTTATTTAAAAAAAAAAAAAATTTTTTTAATAATAATAAAAATAATGAATAAATCAAATAATGAAGAAATAAATACAGAAAACTTTTACTTATAAAACTAAATATAATTTAATTAGTAAATTTTTAAAAAAGGTGATACATCGTTTTCTAACATATCATTTTGTATGCCAAAAATAATTAATGATGAGAAGCTTTAAATGTAAAATAAAAATAAAACAACAACATCTTAAAAGGGTCTATAAGATTCTTAGCAAAATATTCGTAATATGGAAGAAAATGAAGAAAAATAATCATAAAATAAAAAAGTTGCTATTTTAAATAAAATAAAATTAAATAATACGAATTTTCATATTAAAAAGTTCATTTAATTAATCAGAAATTAAACCTCTTTAAGGAAAATAGAATAATTATCAAAATAAGATTTTTATCATTTAAATGATTTAGTTGATTATAATTCTAAATAATTATAATAATTTACAAATAAACTTAGTTTTAATTCATTTAAAAACTTATTGGTATAATAAATTTATTTTTTAGAAAACAAAATACCTGTTTTTAGTCCTACAGATCCAATAGTAATAACTTGGGATATATTTTATTGTTTTTTGACAACTTTATTTTTATATTTATATTCTCTTTTTTAATTTTTTTGTGATTAAAATGATACATTTGAAGTGTTTGTTTCTTATTATCCTTTTATTTTATCAATATTTTTTATCGAACTTTTATTTACATTTAATAAAGCTTATTTTTATAAAGACCAAATAGTAAAAAGTAGGAAAAAAATAGCTCAAAAATAATTAGAATCATATTTTTTATTTGATATTTTGAGTATTTTTATTATTCTTTTGGAAATTTTGAATTTCAAAAATGCTTAAAGATTTTTATTGATTTAATTTTTGTTAAATACATTAGTCTTTTTAAGAATTATTGGTGTTTTTAAAAAATATTATAAAATAACTTAAATTATTACTTTAAGTGATACTTAAAGCTATCTTTTGAAACTATTTAATTTAATTTTTATGATTTTTTTTGTTGCTCATTCAGGTATTTTTTTTAAATTAATTAACATATTATATCTTTAAAGTTTCTATTGGTTGGTATTTATTAGGTAAATCATAAAAAGATAATAACTTTGAAATTTATTGGATGAAAAAGGTTAATATTTTGGATTTGAATTGGACTTAAAAATATATTTTTTCGTTATACTGGTCTTTAACAACTATGACTACAAGTTATTAAAATATATATGTATATATTTTTGATTATTATTTATGTTAGTTGGATATGGTGATATTACTCCTACAAATTCATATGAAATAATATTTACAGTTATAAGTATGATATTAATGAGTTGTTTTTTCGCTTATTCTATAAATAATATAGGAATGATATTATAATAAATAGAAAAAAATTCTTAAGAATTAATATAAGATACACTAATAATATAGAGGTAAACTTTACCTTTATAAAAATAAAAATAAAATATAGATATTTAGACCGAAAGAAAATAAATAAGTAACTAAAAACACGAATTACGAATTATTTAACATATTTAAATGACGAAAAAAGGAATAGAAATAAAGAAGAAGAAGAAAAAGTATTCCAAAAACTGTCAAATAAGCTTCGAAAATAAATAACAGTCGAAATAAACAAAAACATATTGAAAAAACATTTAATATTTAGTTACAATTTTTCAGAAAAAACATTAAAATAATTACTCTTTTTAATGGAAGAAGTCTTAATATCTCCAAACGAAATAATTTTTAATGAAGAAGATATAAACGATTAATCAATTTATTTTATAGAAAATGGAACTGTGGAAATATTTAATCCTGGAATTCATAATATGAAAAAAAATAGTGTGTTAAAATAGTTAAAATAAAATTAATTTTTTGGAGAATTTTCTTTTTTTTCTGGACTTGCAAGAACTGCTTCTGCACGAAGTGTCAACCTATCAACTTTATATAGAATAAAAAGAGAAGATTTTTTGAATGTAGTTTAAGGAAATAAATAAGATTTTGAAAGATTTAAAATGTTAGAAGAACTTTTAAGATTTTAAAACTAAAGAAATTTTTTAAATTAAAGTTGCTATAGTTGTGCTGAAAATACACATTTTTTAAAAAATTGTCCAAAAACACATTTAAATATAGACTCTTAATTTATTACTTTGAGGTATACATATTCAAGATTTTAAGATAGGAATGATCAATTTATAAGAAAAAGCAAAAAAAAAATATATAAAAGCCTCTTCTTTATCAAAAAAAATAGAGAAATAATTCGGAAATTAAAAAAATATATAAGTGGAGTATTTGAAGTATTTAAAGTATTTTTTGAAAGTTCTGATAGTGAAATTGAAAGTGAATTAATTATTTCAGAAGAAAATTCTTAGTTAAATTCTTGCTCTGAACAAGAATCTGAGTTTAAAAAAAATAAATATAATATTCGGATTAATAGAGAAAATTAGATTGAAAATAAAAGCTAATATTAGAATGAATTTTAAAATGGTATTAATAAAGAAAAAGAAATTATGTTGATTCTATAAAAATTTAATGAAGTAAAAATTTAAAATAATAATGAAGATTTCTATTTTTAATAATAATTCGAAAAAGGAAAGATTTTTACTAAATTTTTTCCTCATAATAATTTTGATAAAGTACTTAATTAAGTTAAAAAAAATAAAATTTAATTAAGATATAATAGAAATAAAAGAACAAATTTTTATTTATGTTAACAAATTAATAACGATTTGGAAATTATTAATATTTTTGGAAATCTTAATAATTAATAAACTTAAATAATTATGCCATAATAAGCATCATATGGTGTTTATCTTAAAAAAAAATAAAAAAATCCTATTTTTAAAAAATGATTTTTTTTATAAATATTCTTTATTAATTATGTTTAAAAAAATAATATATTAATTTTATAATATCTTATATTTGTAATTGTTTATTTTATTAAAAAACTTATTTTATATTCTTTTTTTTATTGAATTCTTAAAAAAAAAAATGATTTTCAAAGTATTTTTAAAATTGAATAGTTAACGTTTTATAAAATAAGTTTTTAGAAATTCAACAACAAAATAAGAAAGCAAGATTTGTTATTATGAAATATTGAATGTTTAAAAAAATGCATAATTTAAATAAATTAAATAGCAATATATCAATTTAACTAAAAAATATCATCCAGATATTAATTCTGATGAATAAACTATAGTTATATATAACTTTTTTTAAAAAATAAAATAAAATAAAATATTAATAGACAAAATTTAAAAAAATTGTTGAAGCTTATGAAAATTTGATCGATAAATAAAAAAGATTGACATATGATTTAAAAAATGGTACTTTTTTTTTTAATTATCACACCAATAAATTTATAAATAAAGGAATATAATCTGATTGGCAAATTAACGATGAAGATATAAGTAGTCAATTTAATAATGAAGAAAATTATAATGTATATTTAAATGAAAAAAATATTAAAATTAAATAAATAGATGAGTAATTATATAATAATTTTGAATAAATAATAGTAATAATAAAATATTAAATATATATATATATATTCATATTTATAATTAATTAATATTATTCAGGATAATAAAAATATAATGTCTTATTCATAATTTAAATAAAGAAATGTATATGGGTTTCTATTTGATTTCAAATTTGTAATATTAGCCATTATTTTTGGAATGACTATTTCCGGAATTTATTGTGGAATAAAAAAAAAAAATTAATATAAAACTTAATTATAAAAAATAGAATAAGTTGTTGCCGGTCCAGGTTATAGAGTTGCCATGTATCCTTTAAATATATGTTGAAAAAATTAAATAATAATAAAAATATAGATAAAATATATATTTCTTTTAAGTATGATTTTTTAAAAAAAACTTAGTCGAAAAATATATAAAAAAAACATTTCATAATTCCATTTTTTATCATCTTCCATTTTTTATCATCCTTTGTTGTTGATACTTATATTTTTAAAATAAAATTGCAGAAATATATATATAAGAAATGTTAAAATATAATATACAAATATTTATTAAAAATATAAAATCAAATACCCGATTTTTGTCATAAGCTAATTTTTTTTAACAATATATAAATATTTTTTTTTATAAATTATTAAAATATATATTTAAAAATATATTTTTTAATTTCTATCGCATTAAACTACTTCTTTGTTGCAAAAACTATAAATTTTTTATACATTTTATAAACTAATATTAATTATATTTTAATCATTTTTTGAATAAAAATTAAAACATTGTTTTAAATAAAAACTATAACTTAAAATAACAAATATTATATTATTATAATAAATTAAAAAAAAATGTCAAAAAGATATTTTATAAACAATCACGATTCAATAATAGGATAGTAAATTCTAAAAGAATTAACTAAAGAAAATGAAGAACCAACCCATATGGTAACTTATACAAATCAAGAAAGTAAAGAAAGAGTGAAAGGTGTGAAAAAAGTATTAAATAAAATGACCAAACCAAAACTTATGAGAAAAAAAATGTTAGAAGAATGTGATGTTTATATTTATGATTTGAATTTTTCAGAAATTGATGATGTATTGTTTGGAGCAAACATATTACACAAAGCTAATTTAGAAGAATAAAAAGTAAAAAGTAAAAAATATTTCTTTTTTTAATAAAAATTATATAGACTTTTATTTTGATTTCTGACGTAATGGTATGGAATGAAACTCCAAAAAAAATAAAAGAAAAAACTTCTGTAGTCCAAGAAGATGTTGAAAATCCAGATGGATAAGCAGAAAATGAATAATAAGAATAAAATTTAGATAAAAGCAATTAAGAAGATTAAGAAAATTATGAAAATTATGAAAATTAAGAAAATTAAAATGTAAACAAAAAAATGCGCATAAATATATATATAAGAAATAAAAAAAAAAGGAAGTAAATAAAAATGAAAATTAGATTGACGAAGAAGTAGAAGAGCCAATAGAATATACTTTTTTTAAAGAATCAGACTATAAATTGAGATAATGTTCAGAAAAATATATCAAAATGAAAAGAATGGAAGACTTAATCTTATCTTTGAAAAAAGAAAATCTCAAAATAATCGTGATTTGTTCAGGAATTCTATATGGCTTAGGAGAGTTGGCCTTTAAAAATCATTTCAAAGCTTCATGGTTATAAAATCCCGAATATTTGCCTTATTTAGGTGATGGATAGAACCTAATTCCGACAATACATATAAACGATTTGGCTAAATTTGTAATAAAAGTTGCTGAAAATCCACCTGAAAATAATTATTTATTCGCTATTGACAAAACTTAAGATAAAAGATAGTAAAATATTATTTAAAATATTTCAAACGGTGTCGGTTCAAAGAAAATAACTTCAGTTGAAAAATCAGATCTTATTGATGAAAATATGGTTGATATTTTTAATTTAAATGTTGACATGTCACCTTCGCCACTTCTCGTAGGTGATGAAGAAAATCCTAGTGACTTTTAATGGACTTGCTAAGTATTTTATTTTTATGTCTTTTTATTAAACATAAATAAAGAAAGGGTTAGATGATCCAGTTAATGTTTAAAAAGTTTTAAAAGAATTTTGCGCTTTTCATAGTATATATATATATTATTTTATTTATTCTTAACTTTAAAAAAAGAATTGAGGCCTATTAAAATTATTGCAAATACACCAAGTAATGAAAGAATTGATAAAAATTCTAAATTTGATTGGGCCATCAAAGAGTTATTTTTTAATCAAAATTTAAATTTATATGTAATATTTTTTATTATTAATAAAAAAAAGAGTATCTGAACATTACAGAATACCTATAATAAAAGTACATGATATTATTAATGAACTAGAATAAAAAACAGTAAAAAATAAAATTATATTATAAATTTAATTATTTATTAAATAAAGGAAATTGATGATACATTATATAGCGATATAAAAGAAGAAGCACAAAATATAAGAGATTATTTAAATAACCCTAAAGTAAAAAATAAAAAAATAAAAAATAAAACCAATTAAATAGGAATAAAAACTTAATGAAACTTTAAAAGTCTTATATAGAGCTGTAAAATGGCGATTAAATTAAAATGATTGTTTAAATAGAGGTTATATTTTAGATAATTATCCGATTTTCGGAGAAGAATGCAATTACATATTTTATCCTTGTAAAAATAAATAATTTAAAATAATTACAAATACATAATTTTAAAAAAAGAAAAAAAACAACTTGATAGAATTAGACCGAAACCAAAAAAATAAAAAAAGAAAAAATAATAAGATGAAAATGAAAATGAAGAAAAGCCAGAAGATGCAAACGAAAATTCTCCTAATCATGAAAATAAAGACGAATATAATGAAGAATAAAGCAACGAATAATAAGCGTAAGAATAACCACCTGAAGAATAAGAAGAAGAAGAAGAACCTCCAGCTGAAGAAGAATAACCTCCAGAGGAAGAAGAAGAAGATCCTGACAATCCAAAGCCTAAAATAGAGCCTTACTATCCTGAATCTGTGATATTTATTAAAAGTAATTAATAAATAATAAAATTAAATAATAATACAAACAAAAAAATAGAAATATTTACAGAAGATAAAAATAAAAATGAAAATCCAAATTGTTAGTTAGTTGAATATTTTTCAAATAAAAAATTAGAAACATACATATTTGATACAAGAGAAAAGGAAAATTTCGAAATCTTCGAATGTTTAAGAATTTTCATTGAAAGAGAAAGAAGACCTTATAATTATTTAATTGAAGAAGAAGAATTAAAGCATAGGCATAATTAATTTTATAAAATTAAAAATGAAAATATTGAAAAATCTAAACACGATAAATAAGAACAGTAAACTAATTTTTATTATATATATTAATTTTGTTAAAAAAAAATCAAATAATTTAGATTGGAAAAAAACTTATCAAACTTAAAAGATTAAAAAAATAATCTCGCAAAAGAATAATTAGAATATGTTTCTAAAAATGAAGGAGAACTTGATATCATTAAAAATATTCCTTTCAGAAATTATCTTATGGATTATATTGTACCCGAGTTAAATGAAGGTTTATTAGAAGTTAGTAAAATGCTTCCGGATGATCCTGTGGAATTTTTAGTAAAATAAAAATTATTTTAATTTAATTTTTATATTTTTATTAGGCTGAATATTTATACAAATAAAGTTATGAATGAAATTTTTTTATATTTATTATATTTTATAAAAATGAAATTATAAATAACATTTTTTATTGGTAATATAGTTATTATATTATATAAACAAATTGTTATTATTGAAACATATCAATAAAAATATTAAAATTAAATCACATTTATCTTTTTTTAAATTACAAAAAAAATTAATTATTATCGAAATCTAATATATTTAATAATAGTAAAAATAAATTATTACTTCACAACTAAAATAAATCGAATTTCCTTTAAAATCTTGTTTTAATTCTAGTAATAATTGTAAAGTTCAAAATATATAGTTTGTTTTCATAAAAATTATATAAAAGAGATAATTACGTATTAAATCAAATATATTTGAAAATTCATAAACATGTACAATAAATTTTAAATTAATAAACTTAAAATAAATCTATAAGTAACCATAATTAAAAAAAGTTTTAAAAATATAATATAAAAAACTTATTTTATAAAAAAGAATAAATATAAATTTAAAATACTGATATACCCATAATTGAATATAGAATCTCAAAAAAGAATAAAATATAAAAAAATTAAATTAAAATAGTATCAAGTAATTGAAAAAATACATAATATCAATAAAATAATGATTAGTATATAAAATAATATTAACTTAGTATAAAAAAAAAATTGATAATAGTATAATAATAAATAGTTATAAAATATTTTATTAAAAATGATTAAAAAAAAATTGTCTTATGTTTTTTTTTTAGCTGATTTTTATTACCTAAATTTTACTTTTAGATATTGATATTAATAGTATTTATATTACTATTTATATTATAATTTATATAATCTTAGAAAATATAAAGGAAATTAATAAAACTAATAAGTAATATTTTAATATACAAAGTAAAAAATTATTTTTAAGAATATAGTCAACTTTCAAATAATTTAAAATAAAAAATATGTTTTTCTTTATAAAGTATTTGCATTTGCATTGCTATTTTTATAAATTTCCTTTATTAATTAATCTTTCTTTTATATTTTTTTACTAAGATATTGCTCATATCACTTTATGTTGTTATTTTAAATTTAAAAAACTAAAAAGTATTTTAATTATATAAAATAAAATAGTATTTAAAATCAAAAAATATATTATAAAAATAAATTATATATTTTTATTTTGATGTTTATATTTTTTAGTTTTTACTTTATAATAAATATGATTAATATATATTTCTTGATAAGGTTCCTCTTTATTTTTCCAATTTGGATTTTTTAATTTTTATTTTGTATTATAGGGATTATAGATTTGCTTTTTTTGTTATTTAAAATTTATATAAGTTTGTATTTAAAAATTAATTAATATTTTATTTTTTATGTTTATATTTATAATAGAAGTTATTTGAATGTTTCAGTTTATTCTAATTACTATTTTTTTCCATATTTACTTGTGATTTTTTTGGAGAGGGGGAGGGAGGGTAGAGTAATATTTTTATTTTAGTTTAGATAAAATTTTTATGATATTGATGTAATTCATTTATATTTTCAAATTGTTGAAATATTATTTTTATGGGAAATAATTAAATTAATATAAATTTAATAAAATAATTATTTTTTACAATTATACATAAAACAGATTATTTTCTATAAATTCATATAATAATCAATTTTTATTGTGAAATGAGAATAAAGTTTTAAAGTATAATAAAATAATTGCAAATAAACTCTAATAAAAAGTTAATAATATGAATATTAAAGCAATTAATCCTAACTATATTATAAGTACGAAAGTACGAAAAAGTTAAATTAAAAAAACATTGTCAATTTAGTTTTTATCCGAAAAATAAGGTTATTGCTTATTTGATGAAATAAAATTTAATATTTATTATAATTATAATAAATAAAATAAAAATAAATATTTGCTATTATGTAGCTAATTGAAATATCAAAAAAGTAATACTCTAAAACAAAAGAAAATGATGAAAATAAAAATATTTAGAATGAAGTAATATTTATAAATTCTAATATTTTTGAATCTTTAAAAATTAATATATTTAAAATTAAAAAAATGAAAATATTTAAAAACTAATAAAAATAATAAAAATTAATAAATTTAGTGACCTTTTGTTCTTTTTTTATGTGCATAATTTCTATTAAGAATTTTTTTTCTTTAAGAATTTAATAATTTCAATTAAAAAAGTTTTAAAAAAGTATGTTATCTAATTATTATAAATTTAAACAAATTTTTTATTTATTTAGGATATTAAATAAATTAATTAATAATAATAATAATAATAGTAAAATTATTGTATAATTAATTGATCAAAATATATAAATATTTTTTTAAAAAAAATTATATAAATTCTATATTAATAAAATAAAAATTAAAGTATTTTTATAAATGGATAAAAAAATAAAGTGCTCTTAAAATTTGTAATATAATAATCAATAATAAAATGTTTTTTAGCATTAAAATTAAGCTTAATAATAAAGTTTTTAAATGAACGATTAATTACAATAATAAAATTCCCCATTATATTAATAATAAAAATTAATACAATAATAACAATTTAACGATTCTCATTAATTAAGTTAATTAGATTTTTTATAAATAGATTTAAATTAAATGGATTAAAATTAATATAATGCAGAATATTTATTAAATTATATATTTGAGCAAGGGAAAATTGCATCAAAACAATTTATAGAAAGAAATAAAAAAATATAATACATAATTTAGAATATAGAATAAAATAATGAAACTTTTAAATATTAAGAAAAAGAACTTTAGAATTATCCTGAATTATTTGCATATGTAAAAAAAAAGTAGATAGTGATATAGCATAAATATAAAATTAAAGATTAATTTGTACGAATTTAATATAGAAATATTAAAAACTTAGTAGCTTTTTTTAAAAGGATATTTAAATAATTGAATAAATATATTAAGAAAATTTAAAATAAAAATGTTTGAATATTAATTTAATTGACTTTTTTTAAGTCTTTTTCTTATAAGAAATTTAAAAAAAACTTAATGCAATCTGCTTCTATGCTAATATTATTGAAAATACTTTCGAAAATATTAATAATTATAAAGAATAAAATAAGCCTTTTTATTATATTGATTTACTTTAAAATACAGAAAAAGAAATTGCTAACATAATAGATAATTTTAATTGATAATAAAATTAGAAAACAATATATAATTATTAAAGAAATAATAATAGACATAAATAAAAATAAATATTTTTAATCAATTTATAATTTTATTTAAAAAAATAATAAAAATATACCCCCAATCACCATCCATATCTATTTCTCATCCTTCTTACATTTCTAGCTTATTCAACTCTTTCTAAATCTAATTAATCAGCTTTTGCAATCGATTCCGCAGCCAAAAATTAGATTTAATTTTTTTACTTTTGTTGTTTTTCGACAGGCATATTTAAGATACTATTATATCTTAATTCATTTTATTAACTCCTTATTTCATTTTACATTTGCCACTCATTTTAATCTAATAATTAGTTAGCATTTAATTCATGAACTTGAACATTTTAAATTTAATTTTTTTTATTTGTGACACTATTTATTATACTTTTCTCGTTTTCTCTTATATTTCTTTTTGTTTAACTTTCATATTCTATTTTTTCATTTTGCACTTTATTTTTTTTTTATAAAAATATATCATCCTGATCAAATTATTCTATTATATCCTATGTGAATTTTTTATTTTTTTAAAAAATATATTTTTACTTTTCCTAATTCTTTGAATTCTATTTCATCTTTTTTATTTATTGGATTTGCTCTGACTTTTTATATTTAATTTTATATTTGATTTTTAGGTTGAGATAAATTTAACGAAAATTTCGCTTTTTATTAACTTTTTTCACCATTTGTAAATTTTTCTTATTTTTTTATTAATCTTTCTTCTTCAATTTATTTTAAGGTTTTTGGAACCCATTCTTCTTTAGAAATCGGTTTTTGGATACCTGGCAAGTTCCTATATGGTATTTTTATTTTTTTCTTTTATTTATTTATTTCTTCTTCTTTTTCTAATTATTGGTCTTTTTGTTTATCTTCTTCTTCTTCTTCTTTCTCACTTTCAGATCCGTAATTAACTAATTTCATTTATTATTATAAATAAATATTTTCGATATAATTATTATGTTTAATTAAAAAAAAATGTGGTTTTTTTGTATATTTAAAATTAAAAATAAATGCAAATAAATATTTAATTTATACTATTAAAAAAAAAAAAATAACAAAAATATATGCAAAAATTTCAATTAAATCAATTAAAATAGCAATAAGGTTTAATTTAATAATCACCAAGAAGCTCTTATACACCTGAATTTTAATAGTAAAAATACAAAAATTAAAAAGATAAATTTTCATAAATGATCAATATACCCCATATAATAAAAAACTCGAATTTTTAAATTCGATTGAAAACTTTTTATGCATTTAGGAAATTAAATAGTAAGGAATTTGATACAAACCATACTTAGGAGAAAATATAATAAACTAAAATAAATAAAAGTAGTACTATGAAGGAAATTAATGCTATAAAATCTTTAAATGGCGCTTAATTTATTAAGAAAAAAATGAGAAAAACTGGAGTTTTTTATTGTTGTGAATTATGGTCGAAGTAATATTATGATTAAATTATTAAAAAAGTTTAATTAAAATAAATGCATAGAGAATTAAATGAGCTTTCGAAATTTAAAAATATTGATGAAAGATAAGAAGATTTAAATAGTTATTATGAAAACTGGAGAAAGAAAAATATAAAATTTGATATTAATGTTTAGTAAGAAATATAGAAAATTGAGAGAAATATTTCAAATAGGAAATAATTAACTGAAAGAAAACTTAAAGATTTTAAAAGCGAATTTAATAATTTAAATAATAATTGTAAAGATATTCTTAATGATAATTTTTTTCTTAAAAAAAAATACAAAACGCAATTGATTTTTCTATAAAAACTTATGAAAAATAAAAAAAGTTTTGATTTTTTTGTTTTTATTTCAATTTTAATAATAATAAATAAAAAAATAAAACTTTTTTTAAAATATATATATATTAATATTTGATTTAAATAAATAAAATTAATAAATAAATATGTTTATTGAATAATAAGATATATAAACTTGGAAGGATGATATTTAAAAATATAAAAAATACAAATAAGAAAGAAAATTAGAAAACATCGAAGTATAGATTAATAACTTATAACTTTAAAAAAAAAAAACTTTTGATATTATTCTTTAAAAATTTAAAGATGAAAATTAAGTTAAATTATGTTAATTGAATTTTTGGAGAAAAAAAAAAAAAAAAAAAAAAAATAAAAGGAAGAAAAAGAAATTAATTAAATACAATAAAATTTTTAGAAGAAATAAACTCTACATCAAAAATAATTGGAAAAATATAAAAAAGATTTTAATATTATTACCCTTGAAAACGATAATAATAATGATTAAAAAGAAAAAATTCCAAAAACTGTAATTGTACCCCTCATAAGAGAATATAATATAGTTAATCATTAAGATACTTAACCTTATATGTTAAAAAATGTGAAAGCTTTAATCTAATAAAAGGTAAAATTTAAATTAGATATATTAATCTATTTTTTAAAAGACTGGTATAGTTAAAAAATTAGATAGAACAAAATTTAGAAATTTTAATATTTTATCAAATAAATATGTATAAGATCACGATACAAGAATATAAGTATTTTTTATTTATTTTTTTTAAAAAATACAAATCAAAATCAATATAAAAAGAAAGATTCTGAATAATAGAAGTTTATTCTAAAAGAAAAGTATGAAAAAACACATAATTACAATTTTGTTATTGGAAAATATTACAATGAAGATAAAGAAAAAGATTTTTAAGAAAAACTCAAATAATAAAATATTACACATGGTTAAATTATAACGAAAAGTTACCTCCTTCAATTAGATTTAGGCATTTTAATATATATATATATATATATATATATATATATATATATATATATATATATATATATATATATATATATTGAATTATTAATATTTTTACTATAAACAAAAAAAGAGAAACAATTATTTTTGATAGTACTAAACCAATACCAGAAACAATAAAAGCAATAGATTAATAAAAAGAAAATGCTAAGAAAAGATATAAATTAAAACATGCAATTGAAAATGAATATTTTTAAAGAAACATAGAAGAATAATCAAGATAATAATAAAGAGTAGCTAATCATTTATGTGATGAAAAATATTTAGAATAATATAGAAAGGGTATTTAATAAAATTATTTATAAAATATAAACAAAAAATAAGGATTTGATATAATTAATTTAAATAAAATCGATATTAAATAAATTGAAAAGCTTATTAATAAAAAACCTAATTTAAGTACTTGGGATAAAGTTATTTAAACAAGACCTTCTGAAAGATGTAAAACAGCAAAAGCATAGTATTAATAATGAAGATATCAAAAGAAAAAAATTATTTAAAATAACTTTAGTATTTAAGGTGGTGATTAAAATAATAAATTAATAACTTTTCTTGCATTTTTTAAGTTTTATTAAATTAAATATTTATCTAATTATAATTTAATATTAAAAAATTAACAAAAATAAAAAAATAGTAATAAAAATAGAATTTTTATAATATTTCTAACAAAAAACAAAATTCCTATATATATTAATAAAAAAGAGAAATTAAAAATAATTCAATATAATAATAATAATATTATTTTTTAAAATAAATAAAAAATATATAAAAACAAGAAAAATCAATAAATAACATGTCAACAAGTAAAAAGAATAACAAAAAACACGCAACAATAAAATATTTAAATCATAAAAAAAATAGCCCAATTTGTATCCAGAGATGAATATAAGCAACAAAAAGCATTAGAAGAAGCCAGAAAAGCAGGAAAAATTCCCGCCCAATTAGATGAAGAAGGAAAAGAAATAAATCCCCATATGCCCCAATATATAACAGTTGCACCATGTAAAAAAAAAGAAATAAATTAAAAATATACATATGCTAAAAAAAATAGGGTATTTGAATCAAACATAGCCATCAATGAAACATTAATATTTTTTCAAAGGATAAGAAAGAGACGATGATTAATAATGGTATGCAAGAGGCCAGAAAGGATTTTAATCAACAAAATATAGAAAAGGAGCATGTGAAAACTGTGGAGCATTAACACATACTATAAAGGAATGTTGTGAACGTCCAAGAAAAAAAGGAGCAAAACTTACTGGCCAAAATATTGCTGCAGATGATATTATTATGAATTTAAATTTTAGTTATGATGCCAAAAGGCATAATTGGAATGGATATGTAAAATATTTTATCAAAATACATTTGCATTTTTAAATATAGGATCCGGATGAGTATATGCAAAAAATAAAGAATATGAACTTGTAGAAGAGATACGAAAAAAAAAACAAGAACAAGAACTTGAAGCATCTGCAAATGGAAAATATGATGACGGAACAAGGGAATAAAATGATCGTTAAGGCCTAATTATATAAACAGTAGATCCGAAAACGAAAACATCATCAATGGATTTGAGAATTAGAGAAGATAAAGCCAAATATTTACTAGATTTAGATGAAAATAGTGCATATTTTAATCCTAAATGTCGTTCCATGAGAGAAAATCCGAATCCAAATGATCTAAATTCAATATTTAAAGGGGAAAACTCCTTAAGGACAACCGGAGATGCCGTTAAGCTTATAAACTAAGAAAAGTTTGCTTGGGATCAAGTTGAAAAGAACGGTTTATCCTTATCATCAATAGCAAATCCGACTTTAACCGAAAAAGTTTTCAAAGAAATGTTGGATAAAGATAAAAATATAAAAAATATGAAAATTAAATAAATTCTGCAAGTATATGGAGGAGAAGAACATTTAGATGTCGACTATGATTTAATAGTTGGATAAACAGAAAAATATGCCGAATATTCAGCTGATGGATAATAATTAGATATTTATAACCATAAAAGGTCCAAATATATTGAAGATGTTTTTATTAATAATCATACAACTGTCTGGGGATCATGGTATAGTGATGTACTTGGATGGGGATTTGCTTGTTGTCATAATAATCTTAAGGATAGTGTGTGTAGTGGGGATAAAGGAAAAAAAGAAGCACTTGTTAAGGAATTTAAGATTAGAAAATAAAAAGATGAAGATTTTAAGAGGGTTAAAGAATTAAATGAAGCTTAGAAGAAAAACGATGGTTTTAAAGCTCCAATGGCTAGAAGTAGTTTATTTTTTTATTCTGTTATTTATATATTTATATATTTTAAAGAAAAATAAGTGGATAAAAATGAAAATGGATAATAATAATAAGTATAGGAAAATGGAAAAGTTAAGAAAATTGAAAAAAAAGAAAGTATTATAATTATGAAGAAGATTATAAAGAAGTTACTGAAGAAGATCTTGAAAATTATAGAAAACAGAGAAAAGTTTTTGATGACCCTATGAATATTTATAAAGATATAGAGGAAAAGGATTGATTTTTTTTAAATAAAATTTGAAATATTGTTTTTTATATAAAAAAAAAATTATATAATTATAAGAATTTTATAGTTTAAAATTCATATTTTTCATTTTAATTAAAATAAAAATATTTATATTTTAAAAAAAAATAAAAGCAAAAATTATTTTTGTATTATTTATTTAAAAAAATTTAAGATATTTATTTTTTAAATAAAAAATTTATTAATAAACTTTTTAAATTTTTAACTTTTTTATTTGTTAAAGCATTTTTTAACAAAATCAAATCAAATAACTAAATAATAATTTTATAGAACCTAAATAAAATAAATAAACAATAATAATAATACTAAAAATATTAAAAATTTCGTATTTTAATTTTATATAATTATTTTTTAATTTTTTACAAATAAAATATTAGTTTTTACATTTTTTATAATTAAAATATAATATTATTTATATTTATAAAATTTTAAAATTAAGTTATTTAAAAATAATTCATACATAAAAAAAATGATAATAAAGTAATTTTAATAAATTTGAAACAATATTATATTATATTGAATAATTAATTTATAAAAAATAAGTTAAAAAGCTGATGCTACACCTTTTTCCGTCAATAAAAATATGGATTAATAAATTTTTCACTAAAAAATTACAGGATCTCGTTCTAGGCATTTAATGATGATGAATAATTTAAAAAAAAGAGTAAAAATATTATAAAATTAATTAAATCTTACAAATTAAAAAAGGAAGAATAATGGGATAATAGATTTTATATTTAATAAATTCCAAAATATAATGCAAGTTAAGACAAACATTTAGAAAGTATTTATTTGAATAAAATAATAATATTTACATTTTTTTTTTAAAAAAAAAAGGTTTTTAATATATGCAAAATTTACAAATTAGAAGGTATAAACATAAATAATTTTTATAAATAAAAATATTTTTTTTTAAAAAAAAGATAAGAATTGTAATCTAAAAATACAAGAAAAAAATCAAAATATAACGTTTAAGATGAATTCGATAATTAATTTAGTAATATATATATTTTAAAATGTAAATAAATATTTATTTATTTTTTTAAACAAAAATATGATAAAATAAAGGTGTTTTAACATTTTAATCAGGAATTAACCCAAAAATAAAATCTTCACTAAATTAAAAAAAATGGTTACCTTAATTCCAAAAATTAATTGAAGACTTAAAATTTTAATGGGAAAACCTTGAAATACCAATTCATCATAGGTATAAAAAATAGAATAAATTAAACAAAAATAAAAAACAGAGAAATATTCCTTTAATGCTGCTTAAATAATTAATAAAATTGTACAGACCTAATTTAAGTAGAAATAAATGATTTAAAAGAAGGTAATTCATTTATTTAAAGTTGTATAAGAGCAATAAAATCTCGCGAATAATGCCTACTTCAAATAAAAAGTTAAATAGATATTATTTCTTCTACATAAAATTCTACAGAAACAATTCAAGAATAAATATAAAAAGTAACAAAAACTAAAAAATTAAAATAAAATTAAATAAAAAAAGTGTTCTGAGTTAATAACTCACCTTCGTTTTTTATCAATAAATGCTATAGAATGTATATTCACTTGGCGTGAATATTTAATACAACACTTTCCAAAAGAAAAGCAGCAGAACATAATATATATATATAATAATGAAAACTATCTTCTCAAAGTAATATTAAAAAAAAAAATCTAAAGTAATAAAAAAACAAAACAACAAAAAAAAGATGAAAATAGATACCTATTTTATTTACAATTCATGTCTAAAAGAAATTTTCCTTGGAAATAATGTATAAATTCCTCCCGAAAATTAAGACACATTTTTACTTTAATTTTCCATAAACTAATAATTATCAAAAAACATAAAAAAAAGAATAGAAAATTCTATATCAATCCTTAAGCAGGAATTTTAAAAATTGTAAATTGATTAAAAACATCAAAAACCAGTTTATCAAATTTACAAAAGCAAAAAAACAACTATCACAAATAATAAATAAAATAAAAATCAATCTGTAGAAAATCTTGAAAATATAAATATTAACTAAATAAACCTATCTACATAAAAAATCTTTCCTAATAATTCCCCTTAATAATAAAAAACTCCAACACCTAATAATCGCTAAAATTTATTCAAAACAGCTTTCCCATCTAAAAGAGAATAAATATAATATTCAAAAGTCTAAGATATGTGCTTAACTGAAGAAGAACTATTTAATTTTTTGCAAACTTATATATCCTAATTACCCCAAAATATATCTTAAAGCTTTGTAAGTTGTCCAAAAGAGCTTCTTTAGAGGATAAAAACTGAGTTAGAAGTAGGATGTGTGAAATATATGTAATAAAATAGTGATGAAATTTAAGGACTATCAATTTTTTTTAACGAAAATAGTCAATAATAACGCAGAATTTAAATCTTACACATCAGTACTTTATAAAAGGAAAACTTCGCAGATTTTTTAGGAAATTTAGCCTCTATTATTTTCGAAAAAGATAATTGTGAGGAAATTCGAGTTTCTCTTTTCCATTAATAATAACAAGATGAACAAAAAATAGCCGTAGACAAAGAAACACAGCTTTTTTTTACTAGCTAAGGTTTCAAATGGAAAAGTGTTAATAATTATAAATAATACAGAACTACTATTTTTGCACTTAAAAGAAATTAATAATAAATAAATTCAGTTAAAAAAATATAGGATGATTATATTGCTATGTCTACTATTTCTTTTTTGAGTTAAAATTAATTTTCCCATTAAGTTTAGTGTTTAAATTTTGATATGAGTGTTTAACTTGCAGCTTGCTTTTTAGAAGCTTCTTAGTGCTTAAATTCGAGCGTTTTTGCAAATGATAATAAAGCATTATAGAAAATTATTGGGTTTATGAATCTTTTGGTTAGGAAAAATTATGAGTTTAGAGGTTTTAAAAAAGGAGTCTTTGACGGGAAATAAAATTTAATTAAATTCATGGAAGAAAATCAATTTAATTTTAAAAATTTCGAAAATTCTATTTAAAATGATAAAAAAGTATATAATATTATATTTATTTTCTGTGTATAAAAAAATATATACTTAAAAAGGTTTTTTGTTGTATTAATAAAGCTGTTTATAAATGGATTTCATTTTCTTAATGTAGTTTTGATAATATAAATTATTTCAGAATTAATATTGTAAAAATAAAAATAAATATAATATAATATAATATAATATTATATTATATTTACGTTTTTTTGTTAAAAATAAAGCCGGAAAATATGGAAAGCTAGTTTATGAAAGCTAAAAGTTTATTAAACTAAAATGTTTATATATTGCCTACTGACGATAGTTAGACAAAAATATTTTTGTTTGAAGTTTAAGATCACTTAAAAGAATTTTAAAATGATTTTTTAGAGAAAGTTAAAGAAGTAATGAAATCTCTTAAAAATTAAGAATTCATTACTGAAACTCTTTTTATCCCATCGTTCTAAATAAATGTAGAAAATAAAGATAGTTTGGGAATGAAAGATAATTATTAATTATATTAAAATTTAAACTTTTCAATTAACTATTAATCTTACCTTCCAATAGTAAAAATTTAATTACCAGTTAATAATTATTATTTCTTAAAACCACCTTTTGTATTTGGTATCTTATTTATATATATAAATATACATTTTTATTTATTAAAAAAAGGATTATTTAATTTAGATATTGATGAAATACTAGAAATACCTTATTATTGTTTTCTTATATAAGATAATAATTTAATATAAAAATAATGAATTAAATAGTGAATTATTAAAAATAAAAAATATAAATTATAAATATATAAAAATTTAGTATAATTATTTATTAATTAAAATATAAAAAGTAATATAAATATTAAATATATAAAATAAAATAAAATAAAAATAATAGAATTTATAATTAATTAACTCTTTTATATAAATAACTATATAAAAATAAAATGGTTTATTATAATTATTAATTTTTTTAAAAAATAAATATTATATACAAATTTATGAATTAATATATTTATTATTATCTAAAATTAAAAAAGATACATAATAATAAAATAGTTATAACTAATTTTAATCTAAAATTAATATTAAACAATTAAAATTATAATATAAATTAAACTTTTTATAATTTTAAAAATATATCATAAAACCAATTAATTTTAAGGAAAAATTTCAGAAATATTATATAGTCTTACAGGCTAAAAACTAAGAATATTTAATAAACCAAAATAAAAAGTATAACTAAACAAAAAAAACAAGAAGAAATAATCAAACTCAAAACTTTAAAATAAAATAAAAGATATGTTTTACACAAATATTAAACAAAACAAATATAATATTAATTTTTAGAAAAAAACATTAAAATATATTAATTTTATTAATAATAGTTAGTATTAACATAATATCTCTTTAAAAATCTAACAAAAAAATATTATTTAATATATTCAATAGTTTAAGATTTATAGATTAATAAATAGAAAAATAGAATTTTCTGGATTAAAGTCTAATTATATTTTTGGTAATAAAAATTAATCTTATTTTAATATTATTAAATAATAAAGATAAATCTTTCTATACATAATATAATTTCTTATATGTAAAATAGTTTATGTTGCCTCTTTTAAAGATTTTTCCTTCTAGCAAGCTTATTATATTCCTGGAAATAATTATTTTTATAAGCTTTTTCATCCACTTATATTTTTACTCAATATAGGATTTTTAATTTATATGAAATAATAATAAAAATTGAATAATTATTTATTTTTTATAATTTAAATTATTATTAAAGAAAAAATTGATAACTAGCTTAAATAATTTTTATTTTAAGTCTTAACTTATCTAACTATTAAAAAATACTAATTTAATTGTTCGAATAATTTATTTTAATAGTTATAAATTTGCATATTCTATTAATAATATAAGAATTATTTTTAGAGGAATTTAATAAGACCAAAAATAAATTAATA